GGATCGGACATTGTTTCGTTATGCTGTGCATGGGGTCGCTATGAGTCGGTTCCAACTCGATGGCACCTGACAACAACAACAATATTAAATAATACTCAATGCAACATCAAACTGCTGAACGCAAAGATTCTGAAATTCTTGTCAGACTTCTAAATATTATATGGAGATAAACATTGTTTTGAAATTGAGTAAAGTTGTGATTCTGTCTAAGATGAGAATTACCCTGTTCTACTAAGAGAGGTAGGATAGCTAATAAGACCACAGAGGGAAGAAGTTTCTCTCAAAAGGAATCTTAAATCTCTTTTAGTATCGACAAAGTTCACAATTAAGATACTTAACATTTCTTAACTCGAGGCTATGTTGTTGTTGTTAGGTGCAGTGGAGTCACTTCCAAACCATAGCTACCCTATACAGTACCAATCTCACAGTGGTTGTTACGCTTGTGCCCACTGCTGCTGACACTGTGCCAGTCCATCTCTTTGGAGATTTCCCTCTTTTTCACTGACCCTTCACTCTATCCAGCATGATTGTCCTTCTCCAGGGACTGAACAGGGAATTTCTTATTCAGGTCACTGCTGATAATATGTCTGAAGTACGAGACAAAGTCTGGTCATCTCGGCTTCTAGCTTCTAAGGAGCATTCTAGTTGTACTTCCTTCCAACACAGGTTTGTTTGTTCTTCTGACAGTCCATGGTATTTTTAATATTCTTCTCCAACACCATAACTCAAATGCATCAATCATTCTACGGTATTTTTTATTCACTGCCCAAATTTCACATGTATATAAGGCTATCAAAAATACCATGGCTTGGGTCAGGTGCACTAAGGACTAAGGTCCTTAAACTGACATCTTTGCTCTTCAACACATCAAAGAGGTCTTTTGTGAAGCACAATTGCCTAATGCTATATGTTTCTTAACTGCTACCTCTATGAGCGTTGACGGTGGAGCCAAGCAAAATAAAGTCTTTGACAACTTCAATCTTTTCTCTATTTATATGGATGTTGTTTACTGGTCCAATGGTGAGGATTTTTGTTTTCTCTATATTGAGGGGCAATCAATATGGGAAACTGTGGTCACTGATCCTTATCAGTAAGCACTTTAAGTCCTCTTCACTGTCAGCAAGCAAGACTGTATCATCTGCAAATAACAGGTTGCTAATGAGTCTTCCTCAAATCCTGATGTCACGTTCTTCATATAATCCAGCTTCTCTGATTATTTACTAAGTATGCAATTTGAGTAACTATGTTATTAGGTGCCATCGAGTTGGCACCGACCCATAGCGACCTTATGCACAGCAGAACAAAACACTGCCTAATCCTGGGCCAACCTCACTACTGTTGCCACGCTTGAGTCCACCGATGCTGGCACTTGGCCAATGCATCTCGTTAGGGGTCTTCCTCTTTTTCTCTGACCGTCCACCTTACCAAACATGATATTCTTCTCCAGCAACTGGTCTCTCCTAACTATATGTCCAAAGTATGAGAGACAATGTTTGGCCATCTTGGCCTCCAAGGAGCACACTGGCTGCACGTACTTCTTCCAAAATGGATCTACTGGTTCTTTTGGCAACCCATGGCACTTTTAGTATAATTCTCCAACACCATAACGCAAAAGCATCAATTATTCTATGCTCTTCCTTATTCACTGTACAGCTTTCACATGCATATAAGGTTACTGAAAATACTATGGCTTGGGTTAGGTGCACCTTTAGTCCTCAAGCTGACATCTTTGCTCTTGAACACTTTAAAAAGGTCTTGTGCAGCAGGTTTGCCTAATGCAATACGTTGTTTGATTTCTTGACTGCTGCTTCTATGAGTATTGATAGTTGATCCAAGGAGAATGAAGTCCTGGACAACTTCAATCTTTTCTCCATTGGTAAGAATGTTGTTTATTGGTCCAGTGGTGAGGATTTTTGTTTTCTTGACACTGAGATGTAATCCATACTGAAGGCTGTGCTCTTTGATCTTCAACAGTAAATGTTCTAAGTCCTCTTCA